TAGGGATGTATTTAAGTTTACACCCCTCCTCCTGCCAATGCCAACCCCAGAACTTTACTGTTCTACTTTTCAAAATATACTTACTACATGCTCTTGCAAAGGCAAGTACTGTTCACCTGACCCAGGTTTCTTTGGAGAGTTGTGTAGCGGTGTTTGAACTCATTTGGGAGAATGTGTGGCACTCTGCTCATTGTTATCTGTCAATTCCATATCAGAAAGCATTAATTTTTCAACAGGCAATAAAAACAAACTGGAGTGATATGAGTACACACATCATAGACTGAGCTTGTCACCATTTTAGATCCACTGTTAAATGCAGATGCTTTTTCCCTAGGTCCAACTATTGAAATGAATATGGAAGTGTTAACTCTTAAGGTTTTGCTGGAACTGAAGCTTTAAAAGTGAAACAAATTCTTAAAATCCTTGTAGAAGCCCCTCATGAAAATATGAATTATAGTTTATGTGAATCATTCCTTGTATATTGTAATATGTTGACTAATTAATAATTATTAAATTCCATCAGATTCATTAATTGTAAAATTGAATATTAAGCCAGATGGCCTTCCTTCCTTTCTTCCTCTAGCCATGAACACCATCACCCCACCACCATCCCCCCCCCCCCAGCCTTTTTTTTTCTTTCTTTCTTTTTTCTCTCTTTTTCCTCCCTTTCTCTCTGTTTCCCTTCTTTTGGGAAATCATTAGTAATAAGTTATAACACAAGTATTTCTGTAAAAAAAAAATATTTCTAGGGAAGAATGTTTTTAGAGTTCCAGCTGAGAAGCCAGGACCATCTCTGCTGCTGCAGTTGGTTTAGAATTACCCACTCCTTCTTCTGAGCAGTGAGGAGGGAGAAGTAAGCTGGCTACTCCAATTGGCTCCCCAGGCTCTAGTACTGGGTGGGAGTGTCTTGGAATCTCATTTAGGTGGATTTGGAACAAGGAACTGAGGCCGTCTGTTGAAAATCATTTTTGAAACTAGCCAAATTCCTGCTCAGGGCTGTTTCTTTCCTCCCTTAAGTCTCCATAATGGACCTTTATGCTTCATTTTCTGTTTGAACCTCCTCTTGCTTCTGGCCAGTGTTTCTCTTGCTCTGGCTGACTGCAGCATAAATCCACAGTCTCAATGATTTCCTCCATTTCCCAGTCCTTGAAGCATCCCCAGACTATTGAGGTTTTCTTTTTTTTTTTTTTTTAAGGCTTTCACTGCTAACACTAAAAGAAAAAATAAAGTAAAACAAAGCTTCATCCTGTACCACCATGGGAACCAGACTCTGCTACACTGGCATTTAATCCCCCCAAATGAGGGATAACTTCTTAAGAAGTCATGTGAGGGCCTTAAAAAGACTATAGAAGCTAGCAAGTTTGAAATGTGGAAAAGGCCATAAAACCTTACTTATTGCCACCACCAGGTTTGTTGCTATGTATCCCATCTTGGAGAGATGGATCCTCGTGTCAAGTCACCTGCAGTGGTGGCAGTTTTGATGCAGGAGAGAGGGAGTCAAAATGAAGGGAGTCTATCACAGTCAATAGGCCAAACAGGAGGGTAAAGAAAGGGGGGGAAGAATGCCCAACTGGTGAGGGACAGCTTGGGAATGTTGGCCATAGCATACAAGATGACCATTTCTGTACGTTTTGGATGAAGGGTTTCATATTGCTAAACATAAACACTGAATATATTGAAAAGAGTTATTTATGACATTTTATTTCAGACTTTAATTTGATCGCTGGTCATTATTACTTTTTAAAAAAATTTTCTTTATATTCAAACAAGTGCATTTGTTTTCTTATTCATTTTTCTTTTCCTAAAAGCATATAATTAAGATTATGTGCCAAGAACACTGTCATGATAAACGTAAATTACTGTCTTGTGTTTTTATAAGCTGAGGGGCGGGTGAAAAGAAAAAAAAATGTTATGTAGATACTGTTTTGCAGTAATTTAAAGATAACAATTTAACCATGTGCCTGTGTGCTGCTCTCTTTAATGTCAGCACAAAGCCATTCTATAGAATGTGACTGATAATCTAGTGTCTAATTCCCATCTTTGTGATGGAAGCATATTTTATATAAAAGAAAAATAAAACTTAAAGTAGATTTTTTTCCTCATGAGCTTTGGAGTCATTAATTTTATAATAAAAAGAAAACAAGAGGATGCTCTTTATAGGTTGTCATAGTTTAGTTGATTACTAAGAGACCCACCAATCATGTGCTCACTGAGGACTAGGTGAGCAGAATTAAGAAGCCAGGGTTTTCTGCAAATAAAGAGATTTTTTTTTCCCCCTAACTTGACATTGTTCACAGGTAAGGCCAGACAGATTGCTTTCTACCTTACATTAAACCAAAATATGTTGCTTTCCTCTTATCCCCCAGCATGCCAGAATTCAGCGCCTCTCTCTTGCTGCTCAAAACCAAAATAGCATTTGGTTGCATAACAATGTACAAACACAAGCAGAAGTTGATGTGATGAGAAGAACTATTCTCTTCTAACTTGTTATTCATTGTTTAGTCTAAAAACAAACTAGAAGGAAGGAGAGAAAGAATTATTCTTGGGGAGTGGCTATAAATGTTACTAGGGCTATCACCAGTTACAACGGTATCCAAATTCTGAAATGTGCTAGGGTTATTGAGTTTTAATCCAAAGTCAAAAAATGTAGACCAAAGTGGGTAGAATAGAATTAAATGAGGAAATAATTGTTTTTAATCCTGCAACTGAGTAGGAAAATATATGGGAACTCAAGAAAAGTCAGTTCCAAGCCAGGTTTCTTTTCTTCTTCTCCTCCTCCTCCCTTTTATTCTAATATTTTGATTAAAAAATATCTAAATCTTCCCAGATAGATCAAGTCAGGATCTTTGCACATCTGGCATGATTTGGATTTACATGCAGGAAGTCCTATTAATTAAGTCTCTTTTTCTGAATTATAAGTCAAGGGTAGCTGGTGGGCAGGGCAGAATCAATAGCACTGCTTGGGCCTGTGCCTTAGTTATCTCTCTTCAGAGACTATTAATGACCTTGACTTGATGAATATAGTTTCTCTTCTAATATCCTATTTAGCACATTTGTAAAATGGGTGCTGTCTGGACCTGTTTTGTTTTTCAATTTTTATTTTTCTTCTATTAGAGTTTTATGCAGTTCTTTGCCAAATCCCTACTGTGACTTTGCTACCCACAATGGTATTTGCCAACCTTTTGTTTACAGAAACTAAATGATGTAATAGAATTGGACAGACTGTCTTTTCCCTACATTCTCCTCAGAATTTCCTGATTTTATTCCCAAATTTTGTTACTTTACTATACATGTTAAATAATCTTATTTAAAGCATCTTAAAGAAGAAATATAATTTTAAAGGGCAATTAATGGGAAACTAAACTGTATCTTAAACATTGAAATAGTATTATTTCCAATATAAATTGATAAAATGAATTGTTAATATTTATCCTATGTTAAAGTTGCCATTGAAAAGTAACAACTTCAGTCTAATTCCTTATTTGAGAGACTGGAAGCAAAAAACAAATTAGAAGTGAATATTACCAAATATTCAAATCACTTTTTTTGCTATTTCTTTCAAGTAAATTCTGGAAAACCAATTACTGTGTAAAGACATTAGGTCCACATTAGTTACCAAGTCTCTATCATAAACTAACACTACATCAATAAATGTGTCTGTGTTGATACTTTGGTTTCCTGATAATATAGTTTAGACAAAATTGATGATTTTTAATTCATTAGTAACAGTGCCCTTTAACAAAGTTATTCATTGAATGTAATGAAATGATGTATTTATACTTTTTACTCTCAAATTTCTATACTTTTTGTTGTTTTATTGTTAGAAACACTGTTGCTCAAATACCACTTTAGAAAATACAGTCAATTAAGCAAAATATCATGATGAGACTAGAATGTCCATGTGTGTATAATTAACTATTGAAACATTTTTGATAAGTACTGAAACCTTGCTCTTGTCCTATACCCCTAAGACAGCTGCCCCTTCCATGTCTAGTACAATTGCCAGTCTGAGTTTTGAAAAGCACTTGAATTGTCTAGTAGGTACTAGTAACAGTTGAAACCCCATGTACTTATAAATGGATTATGTGTAGGAAACATACACATAATCTGCTTTTATATGTGTTTGTAAATATACCCACATATATACACATAGAAATATGAATACATATACTATATATATATATATATATATATATATATATATATACATATTATATAGATATATGGAAATACAAGGGAAGAGTTTGCCTAATTTTGTTTTAGCTTAACTACATTGATATCCTAAGTAGAATTACAGAGCAATTAAACCTTGATCAGCTTTGCCTGATGGATAGCTTCCTCATGAGCTTCCCTTAAAATGGTCACTGTTTTACTCAACATCTTAGAAAGCTAGCATTTTAATAAATTATAGTAAACTGCCATCCTTTGCAATAAAATGACTATGCTATAATAATAAACTGTGCTTTTAGTTGCATACATTTGCATTGTATTGTTTTAAGAAAATCAGTTGAATTACTAGAAATACTAGAAGGCAGCAGTGGCTAAAGGATAATATATCTAGTAGAACTGGAGTAACTTCAGGTGAAATTTCCAGTGGACTTTTTCTTTTATCCAGGTCCCAATCAATAGATAGAAATAGGACCTTTTAGAATTGCTAAAATATAAAGAAGCTTTTAAAAATAATTGTTTAGAATGTCCCTGCCAGCGACATGTAATAACCGTAATGCGTGCTTTACACTGGGCAGTGAAATGCTTTTAAAAAACCCTTTGTTCAGGACATGGCAGTAATCCTGAAATTTTGTCTCACAACCTGTAAATGCTGCCAGTGGGAGGGAACCCGCTCCCCTGTGACTTTGTTTCCCCCTGGAATGGTAGTGATGGAGCACTTGCATGATGTGTTTGGTGCCTTGCATGAGGAAGACATGCAAAGGCAAGGTCCAGTCTGCATGCTGCTTAATCAATGTTTTTCCTTTTCTCTCCTCCTTGTCATGTGCTTTCAGAAGACAACAATGTGGAAGGTGGGTGCTTTCTACCTTATTTTCCAACTCTCATTTGCCTTTTATTTCTTAGTATTAATAGAGTGTGCCTCGAATGTCCACGGTAAGTTGAACTTCCTTCTGAACGTTGGTTGGTGTCTGGGTTATGTATCACTTTTCATATAGAACACAAACACACACACACACACACACACACTCCCATGCCTGTCAGCCCCGAGAATATGGAACACCCTCAGTCTTGAGTCCAACCTTTGATGGATTTCAGCATCCCACATGAACCTGAGGATGCTTACTGCAGTGTTCTATATGGAAAAATGATACAGTGCTACTTCTTTTTATTTTAGAAGAGAAAGCATTTCTTTGCAGTTTCAAAACACAGTGCATGACCCTTTCTTCATTTTTTAATCTTGATCAAAATGATTTCTTCTTTTCTGTTGGAAATGTTTAGCATTGTATCATTTCAAGTCCATTGTTTTGTTTCAAATGTTTTGACTTATAAACAGAACACAGAATAAAATACTGACTCTAAGTAAGAGGCATAAGTGTAGATTAAAAATAAGTCATTGGCCAATGGAAATGAAAGCCCACAGCACTCTGATGTCAATGTTGGTAAGTATATTTGTCATATTCTGTGTCTGTGGAAACTATTTTATTCAAATTTTCTTAAATTTTCTATATCAAGGATTTTTCAGAAAGTTATGCATTTTCCTGTAGAGTCCTGGAGAGATAGTTCAATATTTTTTTTATTTTTAAAGAACATCAATTATCAGTGTACTTCTGACCAAAGCTTCAAAAGATAAGCATACAAAAAAGAACTTGGTATAGCAAAAGAATTGTGAAAGGGAAGGTTTTATCTTACATAAATTACATCATTTTATATAGTCACAGCATTAACAGTCCTTGCATAAGCAGTTAATTAATATTTATATATCAGAAAACAGTATTTAGCTTATTTTGCTACTATATTTTGAAATATAGTCATTCTGTAAAAATATGAACATTTCTACAGAAGAAAGGATTTCTTACAAAAAGACTCCCCATCCAAATTTACAGACAAATAGCCATTAACTTACCAACTTTTTGTTTCCAAGAAATAACTCTTCATGGTAACACAAAATTGATCAGTAGCAGGGTTCAACATCATAATTGTGTTTCTTTCATCGACAGAATTATAGTTGATGCTGAATATTTGTTTTGTTTTTTAAACTTCAAAGAGATTGTACATACATCACGCTTTTCTAAGTGTTGAATCAGCATTTGGCTTCTGTTTTTTTGTCATATAATTTTAATTGCATGTGAGAATACACTTGATAAAGATGACATTACCCTGAAGGCCTGATATCTTTTAAAATTGGTCTCATTTATATTGTGCACATGAATCGAGTTTGAAAGTCATTTCTAAATGATGTCTTTTCAACCCTTTTTGCATCTTTTTAACCATCTTGTAAAATGTTCCATGGTTTTGGTTTTTTTCCTCTTTAAATCTAGTTTCATTCCAAGGGGCTTTAAAATCAGCCTACTTAGCATGAAAGCCTCTCCTCAGATACACATGTTCCATACAAAGACTTGATAAGATTCTCATGGTAGGCCATAAACAGGTGTAATAAAGTTTATTCAATCCTAATTTTAACATCCCTGTTTATAATATTACTTTGAGAATGTGGCTGAGCTCCTCTTAGAGGCAATCTTAGGGGAAATTTTTTCCTCTTAGAGGAAATCTCACAAGAGAATGTGAATACTTTGGGGATTTGTTAAATACCACTCTTAGAAATCTCTAAATTTATTTGCTAAAGTTTAGAGCTTTTAAAATTATCACAGATAATTCCAGGATTTAATCTATAAAAACATTATTATGAAACATGATTAGTAGTTTTAAAAGTAAAGTTAAGTGAAAACTTATAGAACCTGGACAAATCAGTCACTCTTCTTCACTGTATACAACACGAATCATGAGCAGATCATAAATTGTAATCTTCTGTGTGAAGATTTTTTTGTTAAAATCACTAAAGAAACACAGCGATTATACAGTGCAGCATATGCCAGTGTTTAAATTGCAGTTCTAGAACTCTTTGCCCCCAGTGCATTCCAACCAGAGGTTGAAAGAATACCAAACTAATGTATTAAATGATTTCCATATTATATTTGACTATAAGATAATTTATAATTATATTTTCCCTACAAGGATGTTTGAATATAACTAAAATTTTATGAAACTACAGATTACATTTAGTATTGGTGCAAAATGTTATATAGTTCAAAATAGTTTCAAGTATTTTTGAAATAGCACTAGGAATTGAAAATAAAAATGTTAAATTTATTGTATGTATCTTATATTGCTCCAACATTTTCCAAAATTCTTGAAATATACATTGATTATAAATAGCTTTATTTTTTAATTTAGAGTAAAGAACTAAGATTTATGTCTTTCATTAAAAAGTAGTGTCTTAATGAGAGAAATATTTCAAAGAGCATTTGCAATATTCTTGAAAAGAAAAAGGAGTTATCTTCAATCTTAATTTCACTGTCAAGCAGGAAATAAATAATTTAAATAAAGGGAGTTCAGTATTCTTTTAGGAATGTTTCTTGATGTAATTATATCCATAATATATGTCTTAAATACTTACATTAATTTATAGTTTAGCATTTAAATAACCTTTCAGAAAATGCAAAATAATTTTGTTCTCCATGGAAAATTACTGGATTCTATTTAAAGGTGATCTATTCTTCCTTAAAAACATTATTCTGTAGTAAATTCTAAAACTGCATGTCTAATTTTTTTTTCTTTTTCTTTTTCTTTTTTTTGTATTTGAACAAGCCTAGTCAATTGCTAAATGTGTCAGACAAGGAGACATTTCTGCATTATCATTTAAATGTGACTAAGGATCTTTTTTGTTTTTTCATTTAATTATTAAACTGCTCATTTTTTTGATGAGGGGAAAAAGATCAGACCCAGCCCATGTTTCAGGTAGTCCTTTGGGTTTTTAAAAATGTGATTTTATCATTGAAGAATGACAAGCCCTTTGAGGGCGGTATTCAAAACAATCTCAACAAAAGGGCATGAAGGGCAGATGTAATATTTAAGGGATTGGTTGGATTTTGAGTCGTACTCTCATACTTTGGATTGTTCCAACTGATATATAGAAAATATACACAGTGCAGCATATGCCAGTGTTTAAATTGCAGTTCTAGAACTCTTTGCCCCCAAAGCATTCCAACCAGGGGTGGTTGAAAGAATGCTTTTTGATTTGCCTCTGTGATACAGACATGTCTCATAGGAAACAAGATGTCTGTCACTGAACATTTTTGTCACTGTGACAACCCTGCCTTCCCATGCTCCCTTGTTTATTGCTGACTTTGCTCTTGTTTCCCTTCAAGGTCTGGCGCACCTGATGATGGGCGACCAAGGTATGGGCTCTGTTCCTTTTCCACTCTGCTTTCAGTGTTTTATTGTTCTGTAGCTGCTTTCAAACCATCACTGCAAAGTTTGGGCAAATGCTTGCAAATTATCTGGCTGCAAATTAAAGACATAACTTTTGTTCACCTTTTTTTTTTTTTCCTATGTGTTTTCCTCCCCTTTATTTGTTAGTTTGATTTTGTTTTGGTTTGCTCCTATGACTTTTATTTTCCTTCATTTCTTGCACTATAATACCTGCAAATAAATGAGACATTAAGAAATTGTGGTTGAAGATTTCTGTACATTTATCAGCATATGCAGTTAAGTGTGGTTATAGTAAAACAAACAAAACAAAACAAAAAGCAAGAACCATCGTAATTTAATATCTGAAAGAAGATTCTCAGTTTAACCAACGTCAAAAAGAGTCCATTTTTCATCCATGCATGGCAGTTGGGGACATATAGACATCTCTGGCTTCTGGCTTCTAGAATGCTGAGTGTATTGTGACATGGAGTCAATAATTTTCCCACTACCTACATTGCGTATCTTTCTTTTGTGCAGTCTTTTAAAATGAGCATGGGCCATCTGATTCCTTGCATGTACTTGCCTTTAAAAAGGGACAAATGTCTCAGAATGTATTGATTGCATAGCCATTTATCTTCAAAACCTTACTTATACTTTTTTGTCTTGTATTGTTTAGTTTTCAGAGAGCGGTGCATTTACATATATTCATAATTCTTATTGTTGTTTTTCTCCTCTTTATTCTATTTGTCTGGAAAACCTTTCTTCATGGACCCATTTCATCAAATGCATAGGTAAAAGTAAAGGTATTACATTATTTTATTTCTTCCTAATATTATCTTATGAATTACAGTGTCTAAATTATGCAAATGTATGTAGACCTTATGGCATTGGTAATGGGCACTAGGAGGTAGGTATGTGTGTTAATGTATATTTGTGAATTTAAGGTAAGATAAATTCATCAAATGTTTTCTGTTTCACTCTCCTTCATCCTCTTCCCTTTTGCTTTTTAGAGTGATTTTTTTTGTTCCATGTCAGCTGCTTATATAATTAGTATATTTAGAAATTAGCTCCAGGTTTGGATGTCAGTTTTGACAGTGCCATTTAATGGTAGTTAAGTGATGAGTGCAGTAACCATAAATAAATCATCCTCAAACATTGGTGGAACACACCTGCCCTAGCCATTCTGTATTGAGATGTAAGTCTAAGCATGTACAGCACCAAAATGGTATGCAGTAGGCTCATCACCCTGTTGTTTGCTAAATGTCATATGTACACATTAATCACATGGTGATCTAAAAATGAAATATTGTGAAAGAGACAAACAGAGACTTGAAACAAGCCCATTCTATCTTTATGAATACTAGCTTTAAGGACATTATCAACCAGCAATATATTCCTACATCATTTGGTAAGTCAGGCATGTGTACATTTTGGCATTGGTACAAAACTCAGAAGCATGTTTAATTTGCCATTTGGAACCATCTGCATTGTGTTTAGTATTGTCATGAAAATGAAGTAGGTGACATGCAGCTGTAGCCAATGCACAGGATAGCCTTTTTACTGTTCTTAAAGTGTGTTAGTGAACATGTCCTTAGACTCTAGTTTAAAAACATTATTATCATTATTTTAATACTGGAATGTATCTCTTCCTTGAATTCCATGAATCTTTTTTTATGCTCTAAGTTGTTAATACGGTGAATCGGGACCCAAGCTCACAGTTCTACACTTTCACATTTGTGTCGTCTAGCAGGGAAACTTTTCTGCTTGAAAAAGCATCTGAACATGAGCCAAGCAATAAGTAAGAAATGCGATCAAAGTTTTAAATGTGTAAAATAGAGCTTTAGAAACAAATGCTGTTAGGAGGTTTTGAGTCAGTAACGTATTCTGTTGCAGTTTCTGTTTTGGTCAACCATTTCCAATGATATAGTTTAATCACATTTCAAGTCTAGCAACTATGCAAATAGCAGCATGTGTCATTCTTTTTTAAAGATTGTGTGTACTATTTGGGGTACTTCCTAAATACTGTTATTTGAGGTCGAATTCTCCTTTGCTTACTCTAAAGTAGTAGTTCTAATCATGTTATTACATGGGCTCAGGATGGCATATATTTTGTTTTGCTGGCTTAGGAAAATATATTTGTATATGTGCAAGTATATGTTTGTATGAATGTGTGTATACATACAAAATTTCTAGGTATACACACTAATACATTCATTATTCTGTGAAAAAGTAACTTAAAATAATTTTCCAATTATAAGCGTTTAACTCTACATATGGAATAGTTCATGTTTATGCTTAGCTGATATTTGTTTGGTGTAATTAACGTTGAGTGTCACTTCATTCAGTTTTACTGTTAGTCTTAAATGTTTTCTGTTGGCAGGTGTAGAAAACATTATATTTTCATTTTACCTGTTTTCCTCAAATTTTGTCCCTCAATCAGCACAAAGCTACAGAGGACAAGAATTTGATTTTTTTCATTGCATTCTTCTATTATTAATGGTACCAAGATGCTTTTTGATGTCAAATGGGAAAAGAAGATTTTAAGATGGACTGAGTGTTTATCATTCATTTCATGTTGATTAATTGGATATATCTGTGTATATATATTAAAAATGAGGATCATTATTAGTCAGTTTTTATTGCAAATTAACAAATTTATATTCTACAGCAAAATATCAGGACTATGACATGGCAGCACATTCAAGGAGTATCAATATGACAGGGAAATGAAAATGTGGGCAAGTTGGAATAAATAACAGAATGGAAGTGTTCTGAGAGTATTACAAAGTATGGTAGGAATTCAGAGAAGGTATACATGAATTAGAGTCTCTTGTGGCTAAATAACTCACCTGTTGGTGGGGGCAAAAAATGCCTAACTATGTCATATTTTAGCTTTCTCTGTCAGGTTATGCATAAAATAGATGTTAAACCTGGCCAACGTAGGAATAACTGATTTGTGTTATAAACTCTTTTTTTCCCAAATCTTTACAACACAATGTAATCCTGGATCATTTTTTTCTCCACACCATTCTTCTCTTTGGAGCAGTGAATACAGTGGGGTTTGGAAATAACCTTTGTGGACTAATGTCTTCTTTGTGAATCCAGAAGTAAATTGTGTTCACACCTTGAATTCTGCATGAATTCTTAATATTTTCTAAATTTTCAAATGCTCAGAGATCTATGAATACAATTCGTTTAGTAAAATGATATAACACATGAGAAAGAACAATCCTGTTGGTAGCCTTCATCATCCTATCTATTCCTTTCTCACTGATATCATTCTGTGAGGTACATTTACAGAGTTGGTGTGGACATTATGTATACATATTTCTTATGTCTCAGGTTTGAAAACTGCAAAATATATTATCATCTGTACATAACACAAACATGTGAGACAGTTGGATACACTGGAGATCATTGCTATGTGGTAGCAGAATCACACTGAAGGACACACAGGCTTTCTCCCTCCGGCCATGTTGCCCATTATTTTCAATTGGTTATTTTGTTTCAAACTTCAGAGTCCATAATTTCTAAATAAGGCTATGTCACCTTTACCTGCATTTGATTAAGCATAAATTTCATTTCAATGAATTATAACTTTCTTTGAAAGAGCTGAAGACACATTATCCAAAGTCAACTTTACTATTGTTGATTTTGGGTAAATGGATTCCAAATAGTCTTGATGAAATTTTGTTTAAAGTCTTTATTGAAATTTGTCAGTATTATTATTATTAGGATAACTGATAATGTTATCTTTTTCCTGCTTTCTACTTAGAATTTGTTTGTCTCTTTGCTTTGAAATTTCTTGTGTTTTTTTCTTTTTGTATATTTAGTGGCTTATTTCAATATTTATTCATTTATTTATATTTTACTTTAACAGTTGTCTGAGAAAAATAAATGACTAAATCAAGAATTTATTTATATATGTAGATTCAGCCATAATAGGTGTTTAATAACTCAAGAGTATATTAAACACTTTAAATTAGTATTGGTGCTTTGATTAGAGGCCTATACTATTCCTGCACAGCAATCATAATAGTAATTACATATTTGTCTTTGCAATTATATTTAATGTCACCTTTTCCTAGTAGAATGTAAGCTCCCTGAGGGCAGGAATTTGTGTTTTTTGTTGACCACTGTATTTCCAGGACACTTTCTTACTGTATCTTGAATTTGCCGTGTTCATGACCTAAGTATAATGGGACAGGGGTTGGGGGTGTTGGGGAAGGTAAATATAGAAGTGGAAAGGATTGAAATGAACAAAGTAAGTGCTGAAAAGGCAAAAGGAAGTTTACTCAAATAACCAAAAGGAACTGTTACAAAAGGTTTTATGAAATTGCTCTGTCTCTAAACGTTCTTTTGTCTCCTATCATTCTTATTCTTTCTCAAAGCTACTATATTTCTTTCTTTTTTTTTTTTTTTTGGCTGCAAACTCATGCAAACTTTATTTCTTTTAAACTATATTTCTTTCTAATAAAACATCATTCTGATATAACTTTCATATGCCTTAGCACATGCACAGAATTGGGTCTGTAAAGAAATAAAGTCACTGTTTTTCATGTTTAAGGGTTTTCAGTATTTTTGTGTGTCCCTTATTGTCTCAGGAATAAATAAATAGATTTTACTTTCAAATTTTCACTATTCATGAGACAACAGGTACAATGACTTTTCCCTGAAATTTAGATCTAATGTCATGCTATCTTAGGTGGTCTCTTTTTCTTCCATTTTTAATTAACCTTATTGTTTCACTTTCTATGTGCAAGAAGAACTATATTTAAATTGAATATGAATGGTAAGCTCTTAGAAATGTCAAAATATAAGTCTTGATCTAAGAAATAAATATATTTATTTTGCATGTATAAATCCTATACCATATTTGCAAAATAAATGTCCATTTCACTGACTCAAATGAACACTTATTGTTTGATTATTCAGGACCCTTGTGATATTAGAAGGCTACAGTCTTACAAGTAGAACTGGCAAGCAAATAGTTACAGAGTTTTGAGGTGCATTAGCCTTCCAGTATTAGTGAAATGTAGACAGAGACCTCAAATTAAAATCATTTATAGGGAAAATAAAAATAGATTTTTCTTCAAATGAATTATACCTAGATAAATTGGTTCTTCTACAACTTATTCATAAGCAATACTCAATATCATTATGTGCTTCAGAACTTTTATGTCACATCACAATTCATATTCTATTGCATTTGTTCTTAAAAGAGATTTGATATTAATATTTGGAGAAGAAACTATTTGCTGCCTTTAAAAAAATTTTTTATTTTATATGACAGCAGAATGCATTACAATTCTTATTACACATACAGAGCACAATTTTTCATATCTCTGGTTGTATACAGAGTATATTCACACCAATTCTTGTCTTCATACCTGTACTTTGGATAATAATGATCATCACATTCCACCATCATTAATAATCCCATGCCCCCTCCCTCCCCCTCCAACCCCTCTGCCCTATCTAGAGTTCCTCTATTCCTCCCATGCTCCTGATCCCTATACCACTATGAATCAGCCTCCTTATATCAAAGAAAACATTTGGCATTTTTCGGGGGAGGAGGGATACTTGCTGCCTTTACCTTGTCATTTGTTTCTATCTTAGTCCATTCAAGTAGTCTTCATCCTGCATCCTCACACAATGAAAGGAGGCACCAGAGCTCTCTGGAGTCTTTTGTAAGGGCATTAATCCCATTCATGATGGTTCTGCCCTGCTGACCTCATCTCCTTTCTAAGGCCTCACTTCCTGATTCTTCATCTGGGGTAGGATTTCAACAAGTGAATATTGA